CCGGCCTCTCAGAGATGGGCAGCCTCCTCTAATATCCCTCCTCAGCCTCAACCACTCATCGCCACAGCACCACACACCTGCCCCCAGGCCAGGACACCTCCCTGTGAGCAGCACCTGGTGGGCCCCCCCCATCCAAAGAGGAAGAGAAGGTCCAAAGCCTGGGCTCAGACACAGATGTTGAGTGGCGGGAGTCCCTGACTTGTGGACAGTCTTGGGGAGGCTCCTTGGTGACTGATTTTGACCTTCGACAGGTCATCCCCACTGGGATTCCATTAGAAGAATCAGCCCTGAGCTGCCCCTGCCTGAGCCCCAGTCACCGGCCCCCAGGCCTTGGCCCCTCTCCCTGCTGGTCCCCAGGGGACCGCTGCTGGAAGGTCTGCTTCCCAAGGACCCAGCGCCAGAGGACGATGCCAGCAACCTCACCCACGGTAACTGGCCCACCTTGGCAGGGAGCTGACCCTGGAGCCCCTCAACCCAATCCAGGCCCAGCCACACTTTCTTCTTCAGGCTCTGGCCAAGTCCTCTGCGGAAACCCCACCAAAGGCCTCCGGGAGCGTCAGCACAGGTGCCAGGTACGCCCCCGGCCCCTCCAGGGGGTGAAGGTGGGACCCCAGTGCTCACACAGTGCACCAGGATCCCAGGCTTCAGTCCCAACATGGACCAGTGTCCTGGGCTCTCCTCCAGAGTAGACAGCATTCTGGCCTGACCTTGCCCTGTGCCGTAGCCACTGCGGGGCCAGGGCCCCCCGCTCTCCCACGCCCTCCACAGCTGAATAAACCCTCCCCAAGCCTGCTGTCCACCCAGTCCCCTCCAAGTCCATGCCCCCAAACCAGCCCTTTCCCTCCTCAGGCCTGGGTGCCCCCAGAGCAGCTGCCCCCACACAGGCCTGAAGACCTGGCCGCCAGGGCCTCCACCCCAGGGCCTGACCCTGCAGACAGCCGTGACCTCTTGGCGTTAGCCGGATTTGGGGCATGGAGGGAGCTGCATCTGCGGTGGGTGCTTGTCCTGCACTGAGCCCTGCCCTGTGCATCCTGCCCGGTGGGGGGTCCTGGCTGGGGCTGCCCTGGCTGAGCAGTCACTGGTGCCCAGGATGGCCGGAGGAGCTGGTCACAGGGGCCTGAGGCCAGGGCACCATCCCAGAGTCACACTCACTTGAGATTGGCTCCATGGTGGGGGGGGGGACAGAGCTGTAGCCTCTCCTCCTTCCCCCCAGCCCCCTCCCCCATAGGCACCTGGATTCCAGGCAGAAAGGGGCAGCGACATCCTGGGGTCCACAGAGGGGCCCTGAAGAGCAAGAGGACAAGGCTGGGCCCATGGCCTTGCCCAGCTCCCCAAGCCCGACCCCAGGTACTGTGACAGACCCCACACACCCTGTTAGGGTAGGGCTCTTGCCTCACCGGGCTCTGAGCAGGACTGTGACCCAGAGGATCTCTCCTGGTGGTGGGGAGTGCACAACTGAGGGGAAAATCCCAAGTGGCCTTCCTCAGCCCTTGGGACCATGAGGCCACCGGGGCTGGATGAGAGACAAAAGGCACCCCAGCAAAGGGCCAGAGGTGGGAGCAGTGAGGGGCCATGATCAATGACCAGGACCAGCCCAGGGGCAGTTCTCAAGGAGCAGGGCAAGCTGCTGGCAGAGGGACAGAGCCCACCTGGTGGGCTGGAGACTGAGGCAGGGAGGAGTGCCACCATTCATCCTGTGGACAGGGCCTGCACTGGGCTCAGGCCACAGCATCAGGCCAGGTGAGGTCCTGCCGAAGAGACACTGGCTTTAGAGTGACAGTGGCTGAGTGGAGCAAACCCAGGGGCTGGGAAGCAGAGCCACCTCCCCTAGCACTGCCCAGGGAGGCTTCCTGCAGGGAAGGTCTAAACTGGCTGGTGGAAAAGCTGGGTAGCAACCCTGGGGAGGGAGTGTGGTAAGCAGGCCCAAGCTTGGCTGAATGACTCCCCATCTAGGGTACAGGGCCAAGCCTCTGCTTTTCCTGTGGGGAGGGGCCAGAGAGGGTGGATCCTGAGATCAGCTAGTCAAGAAGGGTCAAAGGCCAGCCACCTAGTGGAGGGGGGGGAGGGAGAGAGCAGA